AAACATATATGTTTGGTGACTAACGTACTGATTTAATTCTCAAAGTTCATACACACCATATGGTTATTCTGCAGAGTTTAGAGGAATGTTGTATTTGTGTAAATTTGCAGAAGTAGTTTGGCAACCCTTGAGGTTCTACTTTTCCCCCTTTAGCCATGGGCTGTGTATTCTCTCCTGTGTGCTTCGACTTGGAAGCTGAGAAATTGGACTGAACATGTTGCTACTACTTTTGAATGAAATGGCATAATCAAGAGCTAACGGATAGATAGTCTCACGATTGAATGGGAATTACTCCCAAGGTCTCTATAAATACTATAGTCTTGGTATTTATCAAGGGACTTCTCTCTGACTGTCTCTATTTCTCTCATACACACCGTTCATTTACGTAGACGTGGATAAGCATCTCCTATACACGTCGTGCCATAGATTATTCATCAATGATATATTCTGATGTATAGCACATCATACATACTCTTTTCTAGAACTACACCCATTGTTTGATTCTCATTCTTGGAGATATGTACGCAGTAAATTACTTCATTCAACCGTTGTTGTTACTCATGGGCAGCTTGTGGTACCAGGTTGCATTCCCGTATATAGAAAATAGTTACAAGAATGAGATGAGGACCAGATGCTTGATTAACACAAAATAAGAAGAGCAATATTTACAATTATTTATATTCTAGACTTTGTAATCAGTCTTAGTTATTATATCTTTTATTAAGAAAATCTGATTAAATATTTAATAACGGAAAATTTTGAATTATAAGACATTCTAAAGTAACTTTAGAAAATACTACAATAATGAACGTGGTAAGTGTACACGCACCTGAGCCATCGAGAGGGAAGTGGCCATTTTCTTTGAACAGCTCAAAGTGATGCAACAATGAGAACATCGTCGGCGACTGAGTCCAAAGCGAAGCCACCGAAATATTCCTCCTGTTCCCGATCCTCAAAGCCCAAACAAGGAAGGTATCGGCAACTATGGCGGTCACCGGCTGCTCCAGCCCATCCATAAGTTGCTCAACCGGAGCTTCCATCTTAGTCCACACAGCTTCCACAAACGCGGCAAAGTGGTTCGCGCGACCGTGCTCTGAGGGTATGACGTTAGGTATGGTGGCTAATCGGATGTTGTCAGGTTTTGGGTCTATTTCGATCAGCCCGTGCCACTCTTCGGTGACGACGAAGGTGATGAGGAGTTGAGGGTTTTTTGAAGATAGTAGCTTGCAAAGGTTCATCATGGGGTTGATGTGGCCTCTTCCAGGAGAGGGCAAAGCCACCACATGGCAGACTGTGATTGGCTCAACTGCCACCATGCCCATTTCTCCCTTGTATGAAGATTGAATATTGAAGCTTTGGAGCTATTGCCATCCCTTCTTATGTATAATATGCAAGTTGGCTGAAGGGTCATGGGGAGCTGCTTGCATGAAACTCTTTGAAGACAAAAATACCCTCATGGTCGCCATGAGTGTAACAAAAGTGTGTAAAAAGTATTTGTGATTGACACTTTTTCCAATTAATCTTGGAAAGTGATCAACTCCAGATTCCTTCTTCGTAATTCACCAAGTTCAAAAATTCGAACCGTTGAAATTTGATCAAACGGCTACAAACAGGGGCCCACTTTAAAAGTTATATTAACTTTAACCATTGGATCAAATTTCAACGGTCTTGATTCTCGAATTTGGTGGATTAGGATGAATAGATCTGGAGATAATCTATTTCCATTAATCTTTTTCAAAACTGTATAACAAGAATTTTTAATTGACTCTTTTTAAATGGTCATTTTCAAATTTCTCTTGTATGTCTTTGTAATGGTCACGTTGCAGAAAATGCGGATCATGTTTGTTGACAAAGCTAGCAGAAAATTCGATGTTAATTTTTGTTGACAAAGCTAGCAGAAAATTCGATGTTAGGGTAAGCATGAGCCATGCCTTTCAAGTTTTCAACCCACGTGGGATCTAGAAGTTGACACCCAAATGTAAACTTGAAAAGTATTTTTTTTTTTTGGTTGGAAATGTGAAAAGTAAAGTTAGTAAAACTAAAGAGTAATATTAGGCAGAGTAAATATGGACGAGGGGAATGAGCTTAGTCTCATAATGAACTTGTAATAATGTGGTTTAAATTCGTTTTTGGCGAGAATTAAACCTAAGACCTTTCACTTACAAGTGAAGAAAAATATTATTAAATTGTAGTATTAAGTGGGAAGTCTTGATCAATTTTGAGCTTTGTCTTCTACAGTGTAAAATTGTTAATAAAGCAAATTCATCTCAAAAGTCTCTAGCATCCCAATAATACGCCACGTGCTCTATCCTTTTGGCATGTGGCAAGCGACAAATAACCAACTTGGAAGGAAAAATATGGGTAACACTATGCAGATAAAATTTATATATTAAATTTGCAAACTAAATGATGTGTCACTAATTAAGAATAAGTACGTTATTTAAAATTTAAGTAATAATTTAATCATCAATTTTCATATTATTTAGTTTACAAAATTTAGTCTACAAAATTATTTTTCTTAGTATTGCTCGACCGAAAATAATTGGAGTGTGACAACTTACAAGACTGAGATGAGAGTCAAGATGTTTGATGAGCACAATATAAGACCAGCAATATTTACAATTATTTTAATTTTGTATCTTCCGTTTGGAAATTGGAAATAAAAAAATTCAACCATCTAATTTTCAGTTAGGCAACATATTTATGGCGCTCTGGAATATTTAGGTATTCCAAAATTCGTGGTCATTTTTAGTTGCTATATTTTTATATTAAAAAGAATTTGTTTAAATATTTAATAATTAAAAATTTTGAATTATAAGATACTCTAAAGTAACTCTAGAAAATATTTGTGTTTTTATAGACTTTTAAAGTGGGAATCCATCTCTATATCTTTGTTGGTGTAATTACTTGAGTCAGATGAGAGAAAACTTTCACGTCTAGTTTTGAAAGGAGGAAATCGTATAAGCTCCTATCCAAAATTTTCTTTCGATAGTCCCATAGCTAAAGAAACCTACTTTCTTATGATTACAATATTCATTTCAATATGAAATCCAATTTGAAAAATACATTAGTCAACTTTTTATTACCACCCAAGGCTTTGATACATTTTAAAATAGAGAAATTTCTACTTATTATGTTTTTTTTTATTAAAAATATTTCATTAAATATTTAATAGTTGAAAATTTGGAAGGATAGGTTACTCTAAAGTAACTTTAGAAAATACTCCAATATTGATCGTGGTAAGAGTACACACACCTGAGACGTCGAGAGGTAAGTGGCCATTTTCTTTGAACAACTCAAAGTGATGCAACAATGAGAACATCGTCGGCGACTGAGTCCAAAGCGAAGCCACCGGAATATTCCTCCTATTCCCAATCCTCAAAGCCCAAGCAAGGAAGGTATCAACAACTATGGCGATCACCGGCTGCTCGAGCCCATCCATAAGCTACTCAACCAGAGCTTCCAACTTGGTCCACACAACTTCCACAAACGCGGCAAAGTGGTTCGCGCGACTGTGCTCGGAGGGTATGACATTGGGTATGGTGGCTAATCGAATGTTGTCGGGTTTTTGGTCGGACTCAATGAACCCGTGCCACTCTTCGGTGACGACGAAGGTAATGAGGAGTTGAGGGTTTTTTGAAGATAGTAGCTTGCAGAGGTTCATCATGGGGTTGATGTGGCCTCTTCAAGGATAAGGCAAAGCCACCACGTGGCAGATTGTGATTGTCTCAACTTCCGCTGTGTCTATTTCTCCCTTGTTTGAGAGAAATTACTTCAATAATGATCAAATTTCAACGGTTGAATTTTCGGACTTAATGGATTAGGAAAAATTTATCCGGAGATGATCCATTTTCATTAATCTTTTTCAAAGGTGTATAAAAGGAATTTTTAATTTACTCTTTTTAAATAGTCATTTTCAAATTTCTCTTGTACGTCTTTGTAATGGTCATGTTGTAGAAAATGCGGATCATTTTTGTTGACAAAGCTAGCAGAAAATTCGATGTTAGGGTAAGCATGAGCCATGCCTTTCAAGTTTTCTACCCACGTGGGATCTAGAAGTTGACAACCAAATGTAAACTTGAAAAGTATTTTTTTGTTTTGGTTGGAAATGTGAAAGGTAAAGTTAGTAAAACTAAAGAGTAATATTAAGTAGATTAAATTTGCAAACTAAATAATGGATCATTAATAAAAAAATAAATATGTGAATCAACATTTAATAATAATTTAATTATCAACTTTCATTTTAGTTTATTAGATTTAGTCAATAAATGTATTCACCCTGCCATTATCCGAAACTAAAATGGATCCACCTCTTCTTCTTCTCCAGCGACCTTAGATCCCAGTACGTCGACGGAGAACAACACCACCTACCTCTCCACTGGAAACTCCCACCTCGATCTCTTCGTCAACATCGTGACGACAAGCTCCCGCAAGCCTGGGCCTACAACGTGCGGAGGACCCAACGGGTGGAGTGGAGGAAAAGGAAAATAAAATATTAAAAAGAAAAACCTTTAGGGCTGATTTATTAAAAAGAAAAACCTTTAGAGCTGATTTAGTATTGATATGCTTTGAGAAAAAAAAATTATTTCTATTGTGTTGTGAGAATAAACTCATTTTTGCTACTTCAGGTTTTTAACTTTTTTTTACTCAAAACTGTGAATATAAGCTTTTTTAAGTTTTATCAAACATCTTTTTGAGCTCAGTTTTTTTTTTTTATACCTACTTTTTATAAAAGTACTTCAGTACTAAACCAGTACTTAGTATATCCATTATTGGTACAGTTAAATAAGAAAAGTGTTTCTAAGAGCAGTAGACAAACAACACTTATCCCAATTATGTAACTGGATCCTCTATGGATTCAAGGGATCTGAGCACACTAATCAATGCATTCAGGTTATTGAAATTTGATCCAATGGTTAAAAATAGAGAGCCACTCTGAATATAAGTTGTTTTAAGTGTTTACCAAATACCTTTTTGAGCTTAGTTTTTTTTAGAACATATGAACATCTTGAATACAATATCTTAAGTTTATAACATTTTTAGAACATATAACACAACCAAACTGCAAAAGAAATGAACTCCTCACTCATATTAATACCTCCAGTTATAAGTTGAATATAGCCATTTGTCTCGAAACGCAAGCAATCTTGTCTAAGAGCTACCACATTCATCAGCTTAATGGCAATTAATTATGTCCTTGTGAAATATCCTTAAGAAAAGCATCAAGGTTTCTATCAGATGAGCCACCATTAGCAATTGCACCTCGACAAACCTCTTGAAGTCGTTTGGCTCTTTCCCTCAAATCCTTCCCCTCCTCGCTTTCCACATCCATAAACTTTTTCACAAGTTCTGCAATTTCCTTGCTACTCACAAGAAGTTCGACCCCCACCTTCTTCTTCACCCGGTATCCAATCCTCCAATCTTCCACAATCTGCTTACCATTGGGAATTTGATCCCAAGATATTGGACAAGTAAGAATTGGAAGACCAGCATAAACAGCTTCCAAAGTTGAATTCCAACCACAATGTGACCAAAACCCGCCAATCGAATCGTGACACAACACCCTCAATTGGTCACACCAAGGCACCACCAAACCCAAATCACCAACACAATCTCTCAACTCAGAAGCATCTCCACGAGCCACCCAAAAAACCCTAACACAACTACTTTTCACCCCAGCAGCAATTTCATCCATTTGGGATTTCGAAACTGATCGGAAACTTCCCATGGAGATGTACAAAACTGACTTTTTGGGTTGAGAATCTAGCCAATGCAGATAATCGATGTCGTTTCGATTAGTGGGAAGAGTTTTTGAAAGTTCAAAGTAAGGTATGGATGGGCCAATAGGGTAGCTAGGGAAAGCAAACTTGGCTTTCAAGGCTTCGAAAACTTGCGGATCAAGCTCGTAGACTGAAGTGAACAAAAGATACTGTGCTTTCTCTACTGCTTGAGAAACTGCTTCAAGGACCTTGGGGAAGACATTTTGATGGTCTGCAAAAAACGCTGGGGGTAGATCTGCAACGCTTGTGGTGCTGACTCCAGGAATGTATTCTATCGTCTCATCTCCACGCTCTGTAATTTTCACATAACATTTTACATCGTACAACATTATTATATTGTATATTAACAAAGAAAAAATGTTTTTTCTTTTCCAAAACCTTAAAATTTAAGATCCTTAAAATTATAGAGCATACATGTAAGAAAAGTATCTGCTATATTACAGTTGAGAACAACTAAATTAAATAATACAAATTGTTCATAAGAACGTCTTAAGCTCGCAAATACATCAACTTGTTTATAAATTAGAGAAAGGCTGTACACAATTTATTCAAACTGATACAATTATTTCTGGTATATGAATAAAATATTAAGTGTCTGAAGTATATGAATAAAATAATACAAGAAAAACTAACGAAAAATGTCTAAAAACTTTAGTTTTAATTAAATTGACAAATAAAGGTGTAAATGAATAGTACTAGGAGTGATTTTTCAAGGTAAAAATATCATTAACGTTAAAAGTGAACAGTACCAAGAATATTTCATTAATATTCCTTAAAATATAATATATTGTCTTAGGCTAAGAAATAATCTAATGTTTTTTTTAAAAAAAGATATAATTGATGACGAATCACGGTTATTCATCTATTTGGATTCCAAAAAAGTAAAAATTACACCTTATGTGTAATCACAATCAAACAAATTCACAACTTACAAATCAAAGACCAAAGCATATAAAATTCATAAGGTCATGGTCAATTTTGAGCTTTCATGTGCAAAATTGTTAATAAAGCACAAATTCATCTCAAAAGTCTCTAACACCCCCAAATAATACACGCCACGTGCTTTATCCTTTTGGCAAGTGGAAGTGACAGCATTTAATATTTCAGAGTTATTAATCATTCTCAGTTTTTATTTTATTTTTATTAAAAGAATTTAATTAAATATTTAATAATTAAAATTTTTGAATTATTAAATATTTAATTAAATACGCTAAAGTAACTTTAGGAAATACTACAATAATGATGCCGATCAGTGTACACGCACCAGAGACATCAAGAGGGAAGTGGCCATTTTCTTTCAACAGCTCAAAGTGATGCAACATTGAGAACATCGTCGGTGACGAAGTCCAAAGCGAAGCTACAGGAATATTCCTTGTATTCCCGACCCTCAGTGCCCAAACAAGGGCGGTATCAGCAACTATGGCGGTCACTGGCTGCTCGAGCCCATCCAAAAGCTGCTTAACCGAAGCCTCCATCTTGGTCCACACAGCTTCCAAAAACGCGGAAAAATCTTTTGCGCGACTGTGCTCAGAGGGTATGACGTTGGGTATGGTGGCTAATCGGATGTTGTCGGGTTTTGGGTCGGATTCGATGAACCCGTGCCACTCTTCGGTGACGACGAAGGTGATGAGGAGTTGAGGGTTCTTTGAAGATAGTAGCTTACAGAGGTTCATCATGGGGTTGATGTGGCCTTTTCCCGGATAAGGCAAAGCCACCACGTGGCAGATTGTGATTGTCTCAATTTCCGCCGTGTCCATTTCTCCCTTGTTTGAAGATTGAATATTGAAGACTGAAGATTGAAGATTGAAGCTTTAAGGCTATTGCTATCCCTTCTTATATATAATCTAAATTACATGTTAATAGAAAATATTAATCTTGTAAAAAGTACCCTCATGGTCGCCATGAGTGTAACAAAAGTGTGTAAAAAGTATTTGTGATTGACACTTTTTCCAATTAATCTTGAAAAGTGATTATCTCCAGATTCCTTCTTTATAATCCACCAAGTTCTGAAATTCGAACCGTTAAAATTTGATCCAACGGTTACAAACAAGGCCCACTTTAAATGTTATATTAACTTTAACCGTTGGATTAAATTTCAACGGTCTTGATTCTCGAACTTGGTGAATTAGGAGGAATGGATCCAAAGATAATCTATTTCCATTAATCTTTTTCAAAATTGTATAACAAAAATTTTTAATTGACTCGTTTTAAATAGTCATTTTTTAATTTCTGTCGTATGTCTTTGTAATGGTTATGTTGTGGAAAATGCGAATCATTTTTGTTGACAAAGCTAGCAGAAAATTCGATGTTAGGGTAAGCATGGGCCATGCCTTTCAAGTTTTCAACCCACGTGGGATCTAGAAGTTGACACCCAAATGTAAACTTGAAAAGTATTTTTTTTGTTTTGTTGGAAATGTGAAAAGTAAAGTTAGTAAAACTAAAGAGTAATATTAGGTAGAGTAAATATGGGTATGGGGATGAGTTTAGTCTCACAATGGACTTGCAATAATGTTGTTCGAATTTTCTTTTGGAGAAAATCAAACCTAAAACCTTTCACTTACAAGTGAAGAAAAATACTATTAAATTGTAGTATTAAGTGGCAAGTTTTGGTCAATTTTGAGCTTTGTCTTTTTCAGTGTAAAATTGTTAATGAAGCAAATTCATCTCAAAAGTCTCTAACATCACAATAATACGCCACGTGCTCTATCCTTTTGGCATGTGGCAAGCGACAAATAACCAACTTGGAAGGAAAATTATGGGCAACACTATATAGACAAAATTTGTATATTAAATTTGCAAATTAAATGATGTGTTATTAATTAAGAATAATATGTTACTCAAGACTTAAGTAATAATTTAATTATCAATTTTCATATCATTTAGTTTACATAATTTTGTCTACAAAATTATTTGAATTGCCATTGCCTCTTTCAAACAAAACTAAAAACAAAATTTTGGGAGCAAAAAATAAAAAATAAAAACGACGGTACCGCCTTCGCCCTCTACTGGGAGTAGTGTTCCGGGCTCTGCTACCTCCAACGACGGTAGAGTCGAAGAGGGAGGCCATTGATGGAGTGAGATATGGGAGGGGGAGAGAGAGAGAGAGAAAAATTGAGTGGGTGGAGTCGAAGAGGGAGGGGGAAGGGTGGGTGCAGACGCCCAAATTTAAAAATAAAAAAAATTTTAATTTTTTTAGTTTTTATTATTTTATTTTTTAATATCCACATGGCACCCAGTCATTGTTCACGTGAATGCCACGTCATCAGTTAACGGCAAACTTAATAGCAACCTTAACGGATGAATAAAAGTGTCCCAAAATTATAACTTTATGTACCACTCTGGGATGAAAAAAATTTCATGTACCAAATGTTGAAAACCAAGAAACTTTAGGGTAGTAAACTGAGATTAACCATTTTATTTAAAAACAAGGGAATAGGATTCTATCCGGATCCTCTTTGTGGGGATCCGAATGATCAATCAATCATGTATGTTCATCGTGCATCGTGCGGTTAGAAATCATTCTAAAATTTTAATTTAAAATTGAATATAAATAGTATTTAATAAAAATTGATCGCACGATGTATGATAAACGGACACGATTGATTTATCTTCGGATCCCCACAAAGAGGATCCGGAGAGGATCCTTGTCCGTTAATAAGGACAAGAGAGAAGAAAAAAAGAAAAGAAAAAAAAAAAAAACCAAAATAAAGGTGCGTGCAAGGAACTTCAAGCCAAGAAGACTTCTTGCACGCTGCTGCTTAGTTGTGTTCTTGTTGGCATCTTCATATTGGAAATTGGTCATTTGCTTTCTTTGATTTGTTTGCAAGTTGTGAGGACTTGGTGTTTTCTCCATTAAAAACAGTACCACAAACCAACCAGGAGGACTTTTGATGGATATTTTTGTATTCAATTGTATTGATTTGATTTGTGTTATTTTTCGATTTTGCAGATGGAGAAGGTGAGATTATAGGAGGAAGAGAAAAGTAAACAGTAGATGTGCATTTAATGGAAGAAAATTAAGTAATTAGTGTAAAAAGCTATGAAATTGAAGAGATTTAGAGAAAATTTGATGAGAATTGAAGAAAATTAGAAGAAGAAAATGTGGTTAGAAGGTGAGAAAGGGCCAAGAAAATGCAAGAAGAGGAGAGAGAAGAATGGTCGTTAAATTTCCTTGAGAGATACCATATTCAGTTTAAGAAATAATCAAGGCACACCAACTTGTATTCAGTTTCAGAAATAGTGTCTTTGTTCAACTTTAGATATTAGTGTCATACCCATGTTTAGTTACTCTAAAGAAACGTGATATTGCAGAATGTTTTTCATATATTACCGAAAGCTAGGGTTACAATATATATAGGAAAGACACAACCCTAATCCTAAACTAATGCCTAAAAGTAAGGAAGTCAAACCTTATCAGGTAAGTAAAGGCTAATTACAGATTTACAAGATTTACCATACTAATCCGAGATATCTTTTTTAACATTCCCCCTCAAGTTGGAGTGTATGTTAATAACACCCAACTTGCTGAGCAATGTTTCAAACTGTGTAGAATTCAACGGTTTGGTGAAGATGTCTGCTGGTTGATCACTTGTTCGTATGTATGTTGTACGAATCATTCCTTCTTGAATCTTTTCTCTCACCAAATGACAATCAATCTCTATGTGCTTTGTCCTTTCATGAAATACCGGGTTTGAAGAAATGACAATCAATCTCTATGGTTGCTTGGTTATCACAGAATAACATGGCTGGTTGTGAATGACTCACCTTTAAATCTCTTAAAATGTTCTTTAACCATATGATCTCACAACATGTGGCTGTCATGGAACGGTACTCGGCTTCAGCACTGGAACGAGAAACAGTGGTTTGCTTCTTTGTTTTCCAGGATATCGGTGCTTGACCAAGTTGAATATAATAACCTGTTATTGATCTTCTTGTGTCTTTGCACCTGGCCCAATCAGCGTCACAAAATGCACTTAACTGCAAGGATCCCTTGGATGGCAGCAATATACCTTGTCCCGGTGAACCCTTGATGTATCTGAGAACTTTGTGTGCTGCCTCAAGGTGTGGTTGTCTAGGCTTGTCCATAAACTGGCTTAACATGTGCACAGCATAAGCTAAGTCCGGCCTGGTTATGGTTAGGTAGATCAGCCTACCCACAAGTCTTCTATATGATGAAGCATCAATAAGAAGTTCTTCTTCCATCTGTGTAAGAGAAACATTTGATTCTACAGGAAACCGTGAAGGTTTAGCACCCAAAAATCCCGCATCATCTAAGATATCCAATGCATATTTGCGTTGACATAAGGTGATGCCATTTGTAGATCTTGCAACCTCTAACCCCAAGAAATACTTAAGTTGTCCCAAATCCTTTAATTTGAATTGTTGTGAGAGGGACTGCTTCGTGGCTTCAATTTCTTGCAGATTATTTCCTGCTAAAATTACATCATCAACGTATACCAATAAAGCAATGAAGTTACCGTGCTGACTTCGGACGAACAATGAATAATCAGAACGCGATTGATGAAATCCAGCAGCCTTGAGAGCAGTGGAAAGTTTAATGAACCATTGTCTTGAGGCTTGTTTTAAACCATATAAGGATTTGTGCAGCTTGCAAACACGAGTCTCCCCCTTTCGTCCAAAGCCAGGAGGTAAGTGCATGTACACTTCCTCATCCAGATCGCCATGCAAGAAGGCGTTGTTGACATCGAGTTGATGTAAATGCCATTGACGCACATCAGCAACACTAAGGAGCACACGGACAGTGGTTAACTTGGCAACTGGAGCAAATGTTTCACGATAGTCAACCCCTTCGACTTGGCTATAGCCCTTGGCAACCAACCGAGCTTTGTAACGCTCGATTGTCCCATCAGGTTTAAGCTTAACCTTGTACACCCATTTGCATCCAATCGGCTTTTTGTGAGGAGGAAGTGGAACAAAGGACCAAGTATGGTTGGCCTGAAGTGCAGCAAGTTCGTGGTGCATGGCATCACGCCATTGTGGATGTTGGACAGCCTGTAGGAAAGTGGTAGGTTCTCGGATGATGGTGACGTTAGTAACAAAATGTTTATGCATAGGAGAGAGGCGATTGTAAGAGAGGTAATAAGACAGAGGGTGAGCAGTACCTGATACCTGAACCATATTCGAGGAAGGAGCAAGTCGGGACGGGAGAGAGGTCTCAACATGGAAATCCTGCAAGAAAGATGAGGGTTTGGTAGGACGTGTGCCACGCCGGGGTGGCGGGGGTGCAGCAGGGAGGAAGACGGAGGGGATGGTGGTGGAGAAGGTAAGGAAGGGGAAGTAGGCTCAACAGGGAGAGCGATGTCAGGGGAGGATGCGATGGGAGGGTATATGGGTATGATAGGGAATGGATCAAAGGATGGCGAGTAGGGTTCTATAAGAAGTGGAGGAGGATTGGGAGTGGGAGCAGCGGAAGGATGGGGTAATTTGTAGGGAAAATGGTCTTCGAAAAAGATGACATCCCGTGACACAAAAAACTTGTTAAGTGTAAGATCAAACAAGCGGTAACCCTTCTGACCATAAGGGTACCCAACAAAAAGACACCGTCGTGCACGAGGATCAAATTTAGAGGGTTTTTGTGCATGGGTTGATGCAAAACATAAGCAACCAAAGACACGTAAATGCATGTAATGTGGTGCCTTGTGAAACAACTTGTGGTATGGTGTTTGCCCTTGGAGAAGTGGTGTGGGTGTACGATTTATAAGATAGGCCGAAGTGAGAATGGCATCCCCCCAAAAATGTTTAGGAAGGTTGGCTTGAAAAAGGAGGGCTCTAGCAACATTTAACAGGTGTCGGTGTTTGCGTTCAACAACACCATTTTGTTGTGGTGTGTTGACACAACTGGTTTGCTGCAGGATCCCTTTGAGTTGGTAAAATGTGACAAGTTTGAACTCGGGACCGTTATCACTTCGAATCACCTTAACTGTGGTGTTGAATTGATTCTCAACCATACGTATAAATTGAACAAGAAGATCTTGTGTGTCAGATTTTTGTTTCATCAAATAAACCCAGGTGCACCGTGTGTAATCATCAACAATGGTAAGAAAATATTTGGCACCTGAGAGGGAAGGAACTTGATAACCCCCCCCCCCCCCCCAAATGTCAATATGTATTAATTCAAAACATGAACGAGTAGATATAGAACTCAAGGGAAAAGACAATCTGGTTTGTTTAGCCAATGGGCAAATTAAACATTTATTGGAATCACACGACTTATTGTGCACAAAGGGAAGTAACGAGGACACTTTAGGTGATGGGTGCCCAAGGCGTTGGTGCCAAAAAGGAGAGCTCATGGTGGTGGTGGTGTTGCAGGATCCCTTCCTTGGTGGTTCGAGATGGTAGAGTCCCTCCCGTTCAATTCCCGTCCCAATCATCTTCCCCGAACGTAGGTCTTGTATGACACAAGATTGTTTGAGAAAAATGGTGATGTAAAGGGAATCGTAGGCTAACTTGCTAATAGATATGAGATTTAGCCTAAACAATGGTACACATAAAACATTGTCAAGGATAAAGTTGGGAGAGAAAACCACTTGGCCGACATGGGTTACGGTAGCAAAGGAACCATTTGGTAATTCAACACTATGATTTTCAACACGTTTTGAGGACGTGAGAAACTCAGGACTGCATACGATGTGGTCGGTGGCGCCACTGTCCAAAATCCAAATAACTTGCTTTCTATTACGCATGAAAGAAAATGCTTTACCTGAGAGTTCTTCATGATTCGAGGAGTTACCCACTTGATTAGCAAATGAGGATTTGCTTTTGTTCAAAAGCTGAAGAATCTGCTTGCAGTCCTCCGGAGAAAAAGGAAAGTTGGGCATTGCGTCCTTCTTGTCACGAGCCGTGACTTGGTTGCCCTTGAAAGGCCGATTTTGTTCAGTCTCAGCCGCTGCTTTTCTTTTGCGGCAAGAGTCAAAAGTATGTCATTTCCAACCGCAAAATGTGCACTTGAGATGAGCACGACAATTCTTGGTGCTATGGTTGGTCTTGTTGCATTTGGCGCATCGCTAACTACCATCTTCTGTCTCGGGTTCTCGACCAGCGCCCCTCACTGCAAACATAGCAGCTTCAAGCTGCACGGTGCTGCCCTTTCCATTTGATACTTCAACTTGCTTCTCATGGCGAAGAACAAGTGCATAAGCTTTGTTAACAGTTGGCAATGGATCCAGCAAGAGGGTGTTGCTACGAACCGTAGCATATGAGTCACGTAAGCCCATAAGGAATTTCATTGTTTTCTGAGTCTCAACATATGATGTTATCTCATTCCTTGCTTCACAATGGCATGTTAGGATTGGACATAAGGTATCACGTTCATCCCAAAGACTTTTGAGTTTTGTGAAGTAAGAACTCACCGTCATGTCGCTTTGCACACAATTATGGATTTCGTTTTCTATGTGAAACAGTTGAACGATGTTCACATGAGAAAACCTTTCTTACAGGTCAAGCCACATCTGCCGCGCGTCCTTGCAGTATATGACACTTCCTGAGATTTCTTTTGACATGGAGCCGAGTAACCATGTTTTCACCAGATTATTGCACCGGTTCCATTGCTGTAATTCTTCAACCTGCGCATCAGTTGGCTTCGTGATTGTTCCATCAACCAGCCCTAACTTGTTTTTAACCATCAAGGCCATGGTCATGGATTGCGCCCATGTGCCATAGTTGTCTTCCACGAGTGGCTGCGGTACAAGAACGGCGCCAGGCTGATCCGAGTGATGAAGATAAAGTGGATGGTTAGGGTGTTCCCACTTCTGATACAAAGTCATGCCTGAGGAGGTTGACTGTTCTGGTTTATCACCCATGGCTATGGTTGCTAGGGTTTAAATATCTGTCGAGGTTTTCCTAGATCGATCACTCTGGTACCATCTAAAGAAACGTGATATTGCAGAATGTTTTTCATATATTACCGAAAGCTAGGGTTACAATATATATAGGAAAGACACAACCCTAATCCTAAACTAATGCCTAAAAGTAAGGAAGTCAAACCTTATCAGGTAAGTAAAGGCTAATTACAGATTTACAAGATTTAGACCTGGTTTGGTACTGAGGTGATTCTAAAAAAAGATGGTATCAAAAAAAGCTGGGAGCTGTTTTTGTGTTTGGTAAACATTCAGCTTCAGCTTTTTTCACAGTTTTGGATGAAAAAAAGCCAAAAACAAGAAGCTGCAAAACCCAGCTTTGAAAAACTGGCTTTTTTTTACATCTTTTTTACATAAAAGTTTACCAAACACTATAATACTGCTTTTTTTTTTTCGAAAGCATTTTTACAAAAAAGTTTACCAAACACTCTGCTGCTTTATTGCACAGCTGCTTATTCTCACAGCACAGCAGAAGCATCTTTTTTTCAAAGCACAGCAATACCAAACCAACCCTTACTATACTAATCTGAGATATCTTCTTTAACAGTTACTAAAATAATTAGTGTTTAATTTTCAAAAATAATGTAGTACTGTTCAGTAGCAAAAATAGTGTAATACCGTTCGGTTTTAGAAATAGTGTGTGTGATGGACGTGAGCGCGACAATTTTTTTTACTTTTGTTATTATATTGAACTTTTGTTATTTTCATTAAATAAAGTTATAAGATGATTTTTTGTTAAAATAAACTTGGACGATACCTATATATATGCAAATAGACTAGGGAGCTGCTTATGAAACTCCTTGAAAGACAAAAATACCCTCATTGCCTTCGTCAGCATTACAAAAGCGTGTAAAAGTGATTCTCCTTCTTTGAAGTCTTTAATAATATGGCCAATGACAGACATAACAATGGCAAAATCCTTTAGTGGTGAGATGATCTGAAGCAAATTTGACTATCAATAGACATTTAAGTTGAATATAACAATTGTATTGAAACGCAAGCAATCATGTCTAAGAGCTACCACATTCATCAGCTTAATGGCAATTATGTCCTTGTGAAATATCCTTAATAAAAGCATCAAGGTTTCTATCAGATGAGCCACCATTGGCAATTGCACCTTGACAAACCTCTTGAAGTTGTTTAGCTCTTTCCCTCAAATCTTTCCCTCCCTCGCTTTCCACATCCATAAACTTCTTCACAATTTCTCCAATTTCCTCGCTACTCACAAGAAGTTCGACCCCCGCCTTCTTCTTCACCCGGTATCCAATCCTCCAATCTTCCACAATCTGCTTACCGTTTGGAATTTGATCCCAAAATATAGGGAAAGTAAGAATTGGAAGACCAGCATAAACTGCTTCCAAAGTTGAATTCCAACCACAATGTGACCAAAACCCGCCAATTGAATCGTGACACAACACCCTCAATTGGTCACACCAAGGCACCACCAAACCCAAATCACCAACAAAATCTCTCAACTCACAAGCATCTCCACGAGCTACCCAAAAAACCCTAACACCACTACTTTTCACCCCAGCAACAATTTCATCCATTTGGGATTTCGAAACCGAGAGGAAACTTCCCATGGAGATGTACAAAACTGACTTTTTGGGTTGAGAATCTAGCCAATGCAGATAATCGATGTCGTTTTCATTAATGGGAAGAGTTTTTGAAAGTTCAAAGTGAGGTATGGATGGGCCAATAGGGTAGATAGGGAAAGCAAACTCGGCTTTGAGGGCTTCGAAGACTTGCGGATCAAGCTCGTAGACTGAAGTGAACAAAAGATACTGTGCTTTCTCTGCTTGAGAACATACTTCAAGGGCCTTGCGGACGACTTTTGGACCGTCTGTAAAAAGGATTGCGGGTAGATCTGCAATGCATGTGGCGCTGACTCCGGGAATATATTCTACTATCTCATCTCCACGCTCTGTAATTTTAACATAATAATTTACGTCGCACAACATTATTATATTGTATATCAACCAAGAAAAAATGCTTTTTCTTCTATAAAATCATAAAATTTAAGAACATTGCACCAAGAAGCCTCGGTATGCATATAAGAAAAGATATCATGCTATATTACAGTTAAGGATTACTAAATTAACCAAATACAAATTGTTCATAAGAATGTCTGAAGCTCGCAAATGCATCAACTTCCTTATAAATTAGAGAAAGGCTTTAAGCAATTTATTCAAACTGATACAATTATTTCTGGTTACCTTACCAATTTTATGTTGTGCACTTATTAGACATAAGTGTCTTAAGTATACGAACAAATATAATATATTGTCTTCGGCTAAAGAAGAATCTAATGTATTTTTTCAAAAGGAAGACAACTGGTGGCGAACTATTATTCATCTCTTTCGGATTCGGAGGAGGTAGGAATTGCACCCTACCCGTAGTCATGATCAAACATATTCACAACTTATAAGTTAAAGATCAAGGCATATTATGGTCAATTTTTTTTTCTTTGTTTTTTGTTGAACAAACGATGTTATCTACACTGAGAGGAGGGGGTGAGCTTAGCCTCACAATGGACTAGGGGAGGGGGGCGAGCTTAGCCTCATAATGGACTACCAATAATGTGGTTCAAATTTTCATTTGATGATAATCGAACCTAAGACCTCTCATTTACAAGTGAAAAGAAATACTTCTGAATTGTAATATTAACCGGTAAGTCTTGGTCAATTTTGAGCTTTGTCTTTTTCAGTGTAAAATTGTTAATAAAGCAAATTCATCTCAAAAGTCTCTAACATCCCAATAATACGCCACGTGCTCTATTCTTTTGGCATGTGGCAAGCTACAAGTAACCAACTTGGAAGGAAAAATATGGGTAACACTATATAGACAAAATTTGTATATTAAATTTGCAAACTAAATGATATGTCAATAATAAAGAACAAGCACATTACTGAAGACTTAAGTAATAATTTAATCATCAATTTTCATATTATTTAGTTTATAAAATTTAGTCTACAAAATTACTTTTCTTAGCATTGCTCGATTGAGAATAATTGGAATGTGACAATTTACAAGACTGAGATGAGAGTCAGGATGTTTGGTGAGCACAATATAAGACCAGCAATATTTACAATTATTTTAATTTTGTATCTTCCGTTTGGAAATTGGAAATAAAAAAATTCAACCATCTACTTATCAGTTAGGTAACATATTTATGGCGCTCTGGAATATTTAATTATTCCAGAGTTCATTTTTAGTTTCTATATTTTTATATTAAAAAGAATTTATTAGAATATTTAATAATTAAAAATTTTGAATTATAAGATACTCTAAAGTAACTTTAGAAAATATTTGTGTTATTATAGACTTTTAAAATGGGAACCCATCTCTATATCTTTGTTGGTGTAATTACTTGGGCCAGATGAGAGAAAACTTCCACGTCCGGTTTTGAAAGGAGGAAATCCTATAAGCTCCTATCCAAAATTTTCTTTTGATAGTCCCATAACTAAAGAAACCTACTTTCTTATGATTACGAAATTCATTTGAATATGAAATCCAATTTGAAAAATACATTAGTCAAATTTTCATTACTACCCAAGGCTTTGATACATTTCTACTTCTTATGTTTTTTTTTTTTATTAAAAATATTTGATTAAATATTTAATAGTTGAAAATTTGGAAGGATAGGATACGCTAAAGCATACTAGAAAATACTCCAATAATGATCGTGGTAAAGTGGATACGCACCTGAGACATCAAGAGCGAAGTGGCCATTTTCTTTGAACAGCTTAAAGTGATGCAACACTGAGAACATCGTCGGCGACTGAGTCCAAAGGGAAGCCAACGGAATATTCCTCCTGTTCCCGACCCTCACAGCCCACATAAGGTAGGTATCAGCAACTATGGTGGTCACCGGTTGCTCGAGCCCATCCAGAAGCTGCTCAACCGGAGCTTCCAGCTTGGTCCCCACAGCTTCCACAAACGCGGCAAAGTTTTTTGCGCGATCGTGCTCGGATGGTATGACGTTGGGTATGGTGGCTAATCGGATGTTGTTGGATTTTGGGTTTGATTCGATGAACCTGTGCCACTCCTCGGTGATGACGAAGGTGATGAGGAGTTGAGGGTTTTTTGAAGATAGTTGTTTGCAGAGGTTCATCATGGGATTGATGTGCCCTCTTCCTGGATAGGGTAAAGCCACTAGGTGACAGACGGTGATTGGCTCAACCTTCATTGTGCCCATTTCTCTCTTGTATGAAGATTGAAGATAAGATTGAAGGTATGAAGCCGTTGCCACACATCTTATGTATAATATGTAAGTAGACGGAAGGACAAAAATACCCTCAAGTGTTAGTTTAAAAAAGAAATTATAGCAATGTCTCAACTTTACTCAATTAGAGTATCAACAAAAGATTTAATTAAATTTTGAATAATTAAAAATTTTGAATTATAAGATACTCTAAAGTAACTTAGGAAATACTCCAATAATGATCGCGGTAAGTGTACACGTACCAGAGACATCAAAAGGGAAGTGGTCATTTTCTTTCAACAGCTCAAAGTGATGCAACATTGAGAACATCATCGGCGACTGAGTCCAAAGCGAAGCCACGGGAATATTCCTCCTATTTCTGACCCTCGGTGCCCAAACAAGGAAGGTATCAGCAGCTATGACGGTCACCGTCTGCTCGAGCCCATCCAAAAGCTGCTCAATCGGAGCCTCCATCTTGGTCCACATAGCTTCCAAAAACGCGGCAAAATCTTTCGCGCGACCGTGCTTGGAGGGTATGACGTTGGGTATGGTGTGGCCTCTTCCCGATAAGGCAAAGCCACCACGTCGCAGACTGTGATTGTCTCAACTTCCGATGTGCCCATTTCTCCCTTGTATGAAGAATGAATATTGAAGACTGAAGATTGAAGATTGAAGCTTTGAAGCTATTGCTATCCCTTCTTATATATAATCTAAACTAATATTAACAGAACCCTCGTTA